ATTTTGTTATAGCAGCACAAAGACACACGGGAAAAACAAAAAAGCGGCTGGGGTGACTAAAGCTTAATAAGGAATGGAGAGAAGAACAAGGATCCGTTTGATGCTTTTCTATCTTCCTGTGGTATATGTGTCCCATGAGAAGAGAGATGCTATCCAGCATCTAGCTCATGTCCTGGAAGCCACACACACTTCACTAGTAACTGAATAGAAGAGTGCATACATGCACTCAACACCTACAACCTCCAGGAGAAAATTCAAATCCTCAGCAAAGCATTCAAGGCTCTTCATCCAGTCCACCTATTCTTCTGACCATTCCTCCAAGTCATAGGGTCCAGTCACAACAGAACACTCACTGTTCCCTCACCATTTCCTGTACTCTCCTGCTCCCACTCCTTCGATTCAAGCAGGATGCAGAGCTTGGGATTCACTGTGGCCTCCGCCTGTCAAAAATCTTCCTCTTGCTTCTAGGTCACTCAGAAGGCCTCAGATTTGACACCCCCAGTAAGAAATACACTTTCCTCTATGTTTCTGGGCACTTGTTTCATCCTTTTAAAAAAGGACACAACCCCATTTGATATTCAGTACTAAACCTCCCTACCCACACACTCCTTAGGTCACTGAAGACAGTGATTATCTTCTCTCAGGACTGGGAGAGAAGCAAGGCAATAAATTAAGCCCAAACTATTTCCTACCATTGTTTACCTGGACTGAGTGATTCAGACCCTTAAGCCACATCCGGCAATTTTGCCTCCAAAGTTTTGGATTTCTCAAACTGAAGGGCCCCAGTGCCATAAATAAAAGTTTAATTCTGAGAAATGACTCTGCTTCTTTTCTTCCAAATCACAATGGAAAACTTTCTTATCATGAAAGCTGTGGAAATGGCCCAGTCAGAAGCCTAAGGTGGAGCCCTAGTAATAAACATACTGAGAGGATATTATTAGTGGGAGAAGGTTTATTTTTGGTCCAATTAAAGCAAGAAATCTCAGACCCTGTCCTTAGGTTTAATTTGGATCCCCCAGAGCTGCATGGCTCTGCCTGTAAAGAAGATTCCTTTCCCACTGTCACCAAAGTAACCAGAGAGACAGCAACCACATGGGTGGACAGCAAGGAGACATTCTGTCTCGCTGGCTAACCCTAGGATACTGTGAACTTTGACCACAGGAACTACTGTTCTGAGACATCACAAAGAAATAGCAGACTTTGAACGGTGCCAAGAGCAGAGGCGATGCTTGAGAAAGCATGTGTGAGAATGTAGGACCTGCCCTTGACACCACTCAAACTCAACTCTCTGATGCATGACCTCCACTGCTGCATGCGCATCTGAACAGCTTCCCCTCAGTTCTAGCAAAAGGAAGTGTACGTATAGACATCTGTTTTCCCCTTATTTCACAGATTCACATTTTGAAGCACCTTTCAGTTGAGAATATTTGTATGTATCCATCCTATCAGAGTCTCCTACTCACAGATACATGCACATGAAATACACTATTTTACTGAGGCCATTTATGGAAATCAGATCATAGTAAATAGAGCACATCCCTAACTTGATGTGCTCCCAGCTTCAGGATGGCAGACTGCAAAGTGTGAGGCAGGAGAGTGACAGACCTGATTTCGACTTACTCTGCCATATACCTGCCTGTGGCCTTGGACCTAAAGTGTGGTGCTGCACTAAGGATTAGGAGGTGATATATATAAAACTGTGGGTGACACACAATCAGCGACAGCATGAGCATACCCTGGATATGGCCCCAAGCAGGGGATTGAAGTGTGGTGAAGGGTCCTGGGGGAGACCAACCTGGGATGTCCCCTTCCCCTCAGACTCCATGCCTGGGCATGCTGAGGCCGTAGCCCATCGTTACAATGCAAAGTGATCTCTGTACCTAATGACCATATCTTGCAGATATTTGCAGATATGCATGGTGAGTGTTCTCACATACCCTTCCTTAAGGCAGCTGGTTTCCTCGGGCTGGTTCAGAGCAGATGGAGCTGCCTGGATCAATGCCTATAACTTCTGGATACTTTTAGTTAATTATAATATTAAAAACCCCACCCATACAGAGAAATCACAGCCATTTTGTATACACGTGACACATAAAGAACCACGTTCTCACACCACCCTTGTGCAATAGATCCCCTAACCTTTAAGCACTCTACCCTATATAAAATGCTGTATAACCTGTGTGCCTTTTTCACAATTGGGAGCAGTTTCTTCTGTTCAGCCAGTCGCTTTTGGACCACTTGGCACATGACTTGGGGCAAACCACCTCACCCCCTACTTTCTGTGAAAGGGCAATGTTAATGTCTAGAGTGCTCTGAGAAGCAAATTGCATAATTAAGTTACTACTATTCACTATTCAACTAGTGAAAGGGAGGTGGTGAATCGTTACCAGAGGAAAACTAGTTGTATCACTGAACAAGTAACCATCTTCAAAGTTCCACTGCCTTAGTTGTAAATAGGAATAAGAACATCCATCTTACAAAGGAATGTGATGATCAAACAAGGGAAAACTAGATGTCCAGCATGCTGCCCAGCACTGAGAAAACATAAACTTCCCTCTAGACTCTTTTCTGCTCTTTGGGCTTCAGTCCTCTTTGCCTTAAATTTAGGAGTTGCACCTAAAATGGGGAGACTAAATATTTTCAAGTTATTATAAAGCAAATAAGATTATAAATGTGGCCAAGTGCGGTGGCTCAAGTCTGTAATACTAGCACTTTGGGAGGCCGTGGTGAGGGTACAAGGGTTCGAGAACAGCCCGGGCAATCTGGCGAGACCTCATCTCTACAATAAATCAAAAAATTAGCCAGGAGTGGTAGCGCACGCCTGTAATTCCAGTTACTTGGAAAGCTGAGGCAGAAGGATCGCCTGAGCCCAGCAGGTTGACGCTGGAGTAGCTGTGAGCAAGCCACTGCACTCCAGCCTGGGTGATGGAGTGAAACTCCAACTCAAAAAAAAAAAGATTATAAATGCTCAGAAAATCTGTCAGACAATGACAGGAAGTGGTTTTTCTTGTTCTCGATTTTCTCCTCAGAAGTGGCAGCTCACTAACGTCAAGTTTCCACAGTGAAGTGGCTTTTGTGTCCAGTTTCCTGGCACATAAAAGAGAGCAAGCTGGGTCCCTCAAGAGGCCACACACAAAGGTCCTCAAGAATCTACCTGCTCTAGCAGTTACTGTCCTCTGTGAAAATGGCTCCACTGTAATGCGACCTATCCTTTTATTACTGAGGCCCCATTCTGTACCCTGCCCACCTCAGGCCCTCAAATAAAATCTTCATTTGCTTATGAACAAAGATGGATACCTCTTCTCCCTCAGATATAAACATGATGTTTTCTCCCACCCTCAAGACAAGGAGTCTCTCTCCTTTCTCCATTCTGTGGAATTTCTCTGTGTCCAATCATCCTGTTGGCCTCATGAAGGATCTAAAGGGAAAAACCTGAGATATCAGAAATTACATATTATTCTCAACTTTTTTTCTCTGAGTAGCTGAAGCTACTATTATAAAGCCCAAAGTTGCCTAACTAACCCCAGGGTGATAGCCTCTTATACTAAATAAGTATGTAATAAACAAAGATACTTTTGGAATAGCAAAGTTCTTGGACAAGTTTCAAATGGATGACAGACAATAAGAAACTTAAAAGTCACTGGATGCTCTGGTCCAAGCTGTTCAGAAAACATCGATATTTCTAAATGTATACATAAATCAACAAGTCCATTAACAGTTATCTACTTCTATATTACAAGGTTAAAAGAGGTCAGAGGTTTGAGGTGCCCAGGACCACAACCTGTGTGCCATAGCATTTGGGGGAAACACTGAACTCCTTAGCTCTTGGAACAGATGCACAAATTCTGCATAAAAAAGTGACCAGTTCTCCTCTGCACTCCAACATCTCTCTGTCATAATGCAGACCCAACCACATCACAATTGTTTACATATTTTCCCCACCTGACTGGATTCCTTGGATCTCCATGGCCAAGCACAATAATGTTTAACATTTATTGAAGGCTAATCTTCAATTATGTTTGGAGAAATGGGAACATCCACTGGAGTAGCTACACTTCTCAAACCAGGAGCAGCTACACTTCTCAAACCAGGAGCACTGGGATTATGCAAAGCAACAAAATGAAAAAGGTGCATCTTTCTGGATCAAGCTTAAAACGTTTTCTTATTAAAACATTTTGAGAAAAGAAAGCAAAAGTCATGTAGAGCTTAAAAATTAAAATAGTTTGTGGCAGGCTGGCAGCTTCCAAATTCAAGGCTATGCCCCAGACTGTCAGCTGTATAATTTCCCTACCCTTGCTGCTAGAGGGTTTCTGCCAAAGCTAAGAAATCCAAGACACTCTGGACTCTACATGTGCATTATGTTTTGAGAGGCTGAAAGTATTTTATCAGGGGTCAAAGAACACCAACCCCACTTTCTAGGTGAAACAAAACAAAAAACAGGTTAATCTTGGCTAAACTACTCAGAAAGTAGTAAACGTAGAAAGGAAAAAAAAAATCGTCAATTGTTGGCCCAGGACACCATCTAAACTTCATAAAAAGGTGTTATTCTTTTAAAAGGGTAGAATAATGTACTACAGTGTTTTTGTGTCCAGGGACCCTTTGATGCCTTCCTAGAGTGGAGGCCATCATTAAGAAACCTTCATTTTATGGGAGCTTTGGGCGCACACCTGCAGCCTCTACAAGATTCAGGTGCGATTGTGCAACCACCACATCAAAATCCCCTCCACAGAGAGGATTCGCACTTCCCAGGAGGGCTTCTCTGAACTTTTACTCTCCCGGCCTTCAAGACTCTTGGCCAACCAAGCCCCAAAGCAGGCGGTGAGTGGCAGGGCAAACATCTTAAGTGGGAAGCAGGACTGCAGAACCTAAAAGTGTTTTCAGGGGCCACAGAAAGACTCAGGTGACTGCAGGCAGGAGGGGCAGCAGAAGAGGCAGACACACACACCCCTACCCCATGCCCCCATCCCCACGCCGGGCCCAGAGCTGCAGTCCGCACCCACCTTGGCCGACGTCTCCCCAAACAGAGGTCTGTTGTCCAGGCCACTGGTGCCATAGGTCCTGGTAGAAAAGTCCTCCATCTTGAGGTTTGTCCAGGCTCCCAAGCCACTCAAAAGCGAGCCAGCCTCACCACCCGAAGTGTCAGGTCCACAGCTCCAAACGCCTCCATTCACGGCGCCCGCAGAGCCGAAGCCCCGGGTGTCCGGGTCGTGGCGGGGCGACGGGTGGTCGTCACACCCGGGGGACGCGTCCGCTCCGACCCGGCCCCCCTTGCCTCCAGATCACGGGCATCTGCCGCAAGAAGTGAAAGGAAACATACACTGCGTGGCCGACTCTCGGCGGGACGCCCCCGGCCGTTGGCGCCC